CATTAAATATTCTACGTCCGTGTCAATGAATTATTGACTGATGTGCCGAGCGTCGCGATATCGGGTTAGCATATCATTCCTCACGTACGCTCTTTTCGCAGGTGAAGAAGAGTATCAAGAATATACGAGGAAACGTTTCGGAAAAGTTATGGGAAATTACGAAGCATTTCGATGTGTTGATTCGTGAAAATTGGACGGAGCAAGCGTTAAACGAGTTAAGGGTATGTGTTTTGCGTTTTTCTGCATATCTTCTTTACATCATTTTCAGCTTAATAGAATAGAATTTTTATATTTTTATATTTACGTATCGCCTCTTTACAACTCTTTTATATTTTCATATTTACGCATCGTCTCTTTAACGATTCAAGGATTTATCAAAGAAATAACATATAAATTGAAACTGTTACATTTTTTACTGTTAAATTTGATTCGATTCGACAGAAGATTATTTGTTGACGAATAATGCGCAATGCAGAATTTCGAGAATTGCCTCCTGGACAAAATGGCGAAGGAAGGCTGGGACGGTAGCGAGGAAGAGGATAATATTCAATGGACATTCGCTGGCGCTCTATTCTATTCCATCATCGTCATCACGACAATTGGTAAGTTTAATATATTCTCAAAATTAGCGGCATATTAATAACTTTGACTTAAATCAATTATCGATATACAAAAGGTTAAAGTATTAAGTGTCAATGTTCTTATTTGTATATCATACAATCGCTCAATGTGAATAATGTGCGTATAGGTATATATACATCTCGGTCACATACATCATCTTTGGCATCACCATTGAGAATAAAGAAATATCGATAAAAATTTATTCGTCACTTTTTAACTTCTCATTCGTCTGCGTTTGATTCTTACTCAATGACCTCCCGTAGATCACGTAATCGTCAGATTCCGAATCGTAGCCATATGGTCGTAACGACTCGAACTCATTACGATGACCATAACCGCCAATGTTATAGGGCTCCGAATAATAGTTATCGAAAGACGAATGTTGATAGCCACCGTTGTACGGTCTTCGATTACCGTAATAATTCAATGCCGGCGCGAAACCATTTGGTCTGTATTTGTGCGGCATTTCCTAGAAATTATTATGAAAAATATGAATATTGTGCACAAGAATATTGTGAATTATGTAAATAGATCAAATTTCGAGAAATCATTAATAAAGCAACAATAAATTTTCACATAACAGATATTTCAACTTATCCGATGAAAAGATATTTTGGAAGATATAATTTGAATTATATGTACAGATGTTAAATATATTCAGAGTACGTCAATATTTTTGAATAGATTTAAATTTGTTTGTCGTTACAGGATAATATGGGTAATGATGCTCTCCCAACAATCCTGGGAATTTTTTGCTGTTGAAACAACAGTACTTCTTCTCCCTCGCACAGTGACCCTGAAATCATTGCGGGAAAATTTTGTTAAGTTTTTCGAATCTGCAAATTTTCGATCAAACTCACAAATTTCAAGCCGGGCGATGGACAATTAAAACTGTATCTACACTTGCAAGTGTCGAACTCGCGATAACGGGGATCATCTCTGATCCATGGCGGTACTGAATTCAAAATACCATTGGGCCCGTTTGGTTCAAAACGAGGAGGTCTGAAATATCAATCGTATCTCTATTATTTTTTTCTTATCAACTAATGGTGATGTTTAGCACAATGTTGTATTTATTTTGAAGTTGAATTATTCATTTTAAAGTGAATGTTTAATTGAAGAACAAAAAAGCTTTGTAAAAACGTTTGACGTATCGACAATTGTTGTATAATATTTTGTAAACAAAACATTCTAATAAGATTAAAAGTGATGAAATTTTATAAATAAAATACGTAATTTGGAGTAGTTTACAAAAAGTGTATATATTACCGACAAGTTAGCAGCTTGGGAAGCTTTACGAAGCATTTCGTAAAATATCGTTACGACCGAACTGCGTTTCGTATGCAATTAAATGTACAAATGGGGATATCTATAAATTAAGTGGTCCCTGTGAAGAGTGGATGTTATATATTTTAATCGGATCATTGGAAATTCAATATAGAACAAGCCAGAGGAATACGCCGCTTGACAAAAAATTTCATTTTTTCGAGATTAATAAATCTGCTTGAAAAATGCAATTTAGCAGAGACTTTGATGGACTCATACTGTATATCATACCGGATCGCAATTTTTAAATAATCTCGATAATTTTGAAAAGAGTTAATTAATTTAATTAATAATCGTTTTAGCACGAAATATATGACGAAATATATTTAGGAGACGTGCTGCTGCAAACGAAACGATTACCTGCCGATTATTCCCGTTGGTCCACCGGGACCTACGAGGACACCATTACCGCCTTGGTATGTCGGAACGAGGGGTCTACCGGTGGGACCGTAAGGGCCTGGATTCTGAGGTCTAAATCCTAACTGAATGCCGTTATCGAAACTATCCAAACGTTCAGGGGGCTCGTGTACTTCATATCTAAAAATAAATTACACGCCTGACAAATTATCCCTCAAAGCCAAATTTCGAGTTATCAAACATTTTTTGTATGTCTTTTAAAATTAGTAAAACAATCAATTAAATAAATTATAATTAAACGTAAATATATACATATGTAAGAAAAAGAATATGTATATGTATATAAGGACGTACATACGTACGTACGTACATACACACACACACACACACACGCGCGCGCGCGCGCGCGCGCGCGCGTGTGTGTGTGTGTGTGTGTGTGTGTGTAGTCTTTTTCTTTCTATGTATATATATATATATATATAAAGAATTTATTGTGAATAGCGCACCTGACATCGGCGGATCGACTCGTCTTTTCTTTATCATTATTCCAAGTCCAGGATTCATCGTTCTCGGCGACTGTCATTGCAATCGCAACGAAAATTAACGAGACACGCATTTTTATCTAAATTCAGAAACTTAACGCAATGCGTCTCAATTACCAGAAGAAGAAGACGTACAGGCACACATAACATTCGAATCTGACTAAACGAGAGTGAAAGTGAATCGCGTCTTTATATATGCATCGCTAGAAGGTGAACGTACCGTTATATTTCGAGGTCTTTTCGGATGATAATCATCTACAATCAATGAACTGTTTCCCACCGTTTCTACGTATCACACAACACACAATATCATCTTTTAAAAGAAAGAAGTAATTCTTGTTATAAATGAAAATTTAAGATGTTACATGTTTAATACGTTTATAAATAATTTGTCGATATTTCATTATTAAGATTTCAGATTTGTATATTCTTTTTCAATGAAATAAAAGAAGATTGGTTTCAAAATCGTTATTTTTGGAACTGTACTTGTTTTATCTTCTAATTCATTTTCCAATTAAAAAAATTTATTTATATGTATGTGTAATAATAAAAATAAATTATATATTTTTTCATAGTAGTATCACCGTTAAACGTTAAACGTTTTTTTCAAATTTTTAGTTTTTTCTTTAATAAAATTTATATTCTAAAAGAACTTTAATTATTTTTGCCTGCTGTTTCTGATTCTCTACAATCGTGATTGCTCAAAGTGAAATTTATACATATAAAATTATGATATATGTACCTGCCGATTTTTAGAAGCATAACGATAATTATTATGCGATGTAGCATAGGTGGATCCGGTCTGATTTTAAGGCCAATTCCGTTCGTTCGTTTCGAGCGTTCGTCCTTCGAATGGGAAAAACCCAGTTCTTCGACTTTAAAGGAGGAAAGAAGCTAGTACGCGCTCTTTGACCTCGTTCTTAAAGTAAAATCAAGACACATGGCGTAACGTTAATTCCCGCGTCTTCGTCTCACTCGACGGCAAAATTACCACCATTACGAATTTTCAGCCTTCACTTTTGAAAAATACATCCTTCATTAAGTTACATTTGTGCACCAATCTTCTTGGCAACGAATACGAACACGTCATATATCCGAGGTGAAGATTACAAATCACGAATAACTGTAAAATTATATTTTTATTTTGTTGCTAATTTATTTTTTTTAAATTGTTCTCTTTCATAATTAATACTAAAAAACTTATTCTCAATTTCCATGCCGTACAGGATGTTTCCTCTAATTCGATCATTTATCTCTATTGTTTTTAATTGTACGAAAAAATACCGAAAAGAAAAATTGTTCCTTTCGAAGGCGTAAATACGATAGGCAACCTTTTTTATGCCTATTATTTCATCAAATTTCGATAGTATTAACATGTTTTTGTAAATGAGATATTTTTATTAATGTAGTAATATGATTCATAAAACACAAATTCAACTATACAGAATTCTTATGTAAACTTTGAATGTGTAGAAGTTGCTAACTATTCATAGATATTTTAAGAATTTGAAAAAAAATCGTATTTAAATTGTTGCAAATTGACTATGGATACTATGAAAATTTAAGAGAAAATTGAATTTGATTAATTAAGCTCTTTCCGAAGAAGCATATTGAAGTAGGCTTTAAAAATAATCAACGCTGAATTTGCGGTCTGGAAAAAATATTTCTTTTGAAATTGAAGTTACATTCAAATGAGACATCTTTTTGCAATTTTGGAATCATTCTTGTTTTGCAATTGTATTAAAAATTAGTTTCTTGTTAGATGTTGCCTGTTGTAAAACAGTGAGGTTTATCAAAATTTCTAGCAGGTCGTAGCAGGTTTTAGCGGGAACATTTTTATTTGTAACAAACTTTTATCTCAATCCAAAGCGTTAATCTTTAGGTAATGGCAAAAATTCATTTCTTTGATAGGCTCTCGCGCGCGATCGTAGCAAGCGACTTCCTCCTTCTATATTTTCTTCCTTCAAATAATTTCCTGCCGTCGATTGTACGACCTATTTCTCATCTCCCTTTCTCTCTCTCTCTCTCTCTCTTTCTTTGTTATATTTTTTCTTTCTTGTCAGAATAAAAAAACGTTATATTACTCAAGATAAAAAAAGTAAGATTTCGTAATGCGAATAGATCGCAATATCTTTTCGCGACATCTTGGGATTCTCAAAGAATTCATGTATTCGCGATGAGAAAACGCAGTTTTTACCTTAGACACATACGTCTATTCTGGATACTTTTCCATTCTGATTGCATACAATTGCATAATGCATAATGCTGCGCTACATTTTAAATTTATATTCTACGCAAGAGAGATTCTCCTTCTCTAACAGTTTGGATAAAGAAAAAGTCTATAATAAATATCATTATCTGTAATTGAACAAAATCGGATTACGATATTTATCACAATAATATATCAGAAAGGACTGCTCTGCACCACAAAATCTTTTATCGTCCAAAGTCGCGTGAAATCAATTCCACTAAAGGCGACCCAAATTGCCTTCATAGCACATTTCGTTGCGGAATTGTCATAATAAATGATTTTTTTCGAGTAAAATTATAAAATTGGTTCGCCATTTCTGTTTTCACGTTTTCTCAACGCGAAAAATCGGTCCTTCCGATAAAGTAAAAAGAGACTTGTTGTAGGTGTATTTTGACTACGTTTCTTTCAATAATTTTAATCAACGAGAAACTTTGTAACATAATAAAAAGATTCATAGATTCATTTATCGTAAATCTGTTTTATCGTAAAAATGATTTTCTGATATTTTGTAAAGGAAAGATCACATGTATAGAATAAATTGATTCTATATCCTATTAAAAAACATTTAAATATTTAACTTCTGACAATTCAAACATTTCGGGATTTTTATAATTGAAAATATTTAAATAGTTGGAATTTATAAAAAGTAGCATTGACTTATTTTGAATAATTTCTTATTTTAAATCTTATTACATTGTATTATTTAAAAAAATGAGCATATTTCAAATATAAAATTTAATATAACATTTAATTTTTATAATTTTGTAATTTTTTTCAAAACTTTTCTGGCATATATTTTTTACAATATTTCTGCAATACAATGCTTTGATACTAAAATCTCATTATAAAATCTTATACATCTTCTCTCTTCTGTAAAATCTTTATAATATATTTCTCTCAGTATTATCAGAAATGTTTCGCATTTTTATATTATTACTCAAAATAAAAATTTTAAAAATTATACACAATTTTTCATTATTTTCATCTTAAATAATGGAAAAATGTGAATTATTTTTAATAATTTTGTGAAACAGTTTGTAAATTAAAATTATCGATAACAGATAACGTATGCAGTTCACATTATAAAATGATAGGTCAATGTAATAGAGAATATTTATCGAATATTATCGAATAAAGAATCTTGGCGACCTTGACCCAGACTTGTAGATGAAATTGTGATGAAACCGCGTGAGACTTTGAAGAAGAGATTCAAGGTCGAGACGAGTGCAACTAAAATCCCGAACGACCTTGTCAGTTCGTTTCTTCTAATTTAAGATTTCGAAAGTAGCGATTAAACTTGGGGGCACGCCTCATCGTCGATCGAGCTCATTCAGTGAAACGATTCTTCACTCGCGATATACTTAATAATACGACGAACAGTAAACAATAAACTTCTTATGTCCACAAACTTTTCACAAATTACTTCACATATAACTTTTATCGAATAAACGTTTTCGTTACGTAGAAATCTTTTCTTTTCTACATTCTTTTTATTTGTTCTTTTAGGATATGGTCACATTGCGCCAAAAACGAAAAATGGCAAAGTAGTAACAATTTTTTACGCCATTCTAGGCATTCCGCTCATGTTACTTTGCCTATCAAATATTGGAGATGTGATGGCGTCGAGTTTTAGGTAACAAACAATATTTGATTATATATATATAAATATAAATATTACATAAAATAGATTACAAATTGGGAAGATGAGAAACTTGCAAAACTGTGTTTCATATCTCACATAAAATTAGTATTTACCGGTTTTAGTTTTGGAAAATAATTCTCTTTTTTGTCCCCTATTTGTGGTATTTTAGGTTTCTATATTGGAAAGTATGTTGTTACGTATGTACAAAACCACCCAAAAAACGACGAGGGCGTAATAATCTTGTTCGATCATATTCCGTTCGTCAACCAGGGTAATTTTATGTATAGCATATTATTAGAAATTTAGAAAAGTATTCTTTTTTTCTTCCAAAATGATACGCACGGAAAATATCACGTAAGAAAAACGTTGTACGTTCCTATAAGAGATCTTTTAAATTTCTATCGGAAGATTGATTAAAATTAATCTATTGATCTAGTATGAATAAACAAAGTCTATGCACAATTGTATAGTGTTATATTTTGTAAGGCGATATGGATCGAGCAGAGGCCCGTTTCGCCGATCCATTAGAGTGAGTCAACGATCAGCTGATTCGGCGTTGGGACTTTCCGAGAGTATGACAAAATCTTCGTATTCCGACACTGACTGCAGGTAAGATTTTTATTTTCATTTTTTTTAATTTAATTTCATTATCTGATATATCGAAGTATAAATGACTTTGTTCATGTTTTAATTCATATTTTAAGTATAATTTAATATTTTATGTACACACACACACGCGCGCGAGCGCGCACGCACACACACACACACACACACACACACACACACACACATATATATAGTCGTTTCTGATTAATGTCCATCTAATCAATGCGAAATGGTGGGCAACAAATATCATTTCATTATACAAATTGAAAAGCTATAGTAGTAAAAAAATATTAGGGTAAAATATAATTTGTAAACAAACTGTAGATACATGTCTCGACGATTAGAAGGAGGTGACTCAAAGGCGATCGCTTACGCATCTTCTAACCATCCGATGGAAGTCAAAGCTGCGACTATGCCACGTTACTCGGATATTCCAGTGGCCACTCCGAGAAGCGTAAGAGGTATTTTTTAATCGATATCATTCGTTTACGTTTTATTGTTGATTTTTCATGTCAACTTTAAATTGACCATAAAGTTGACAAATAAAAGTATAAAAATGTACATAAACATTTGTTGTGTCTTTCTCCCGAAACAATTTTACAACAAAAGAGAGATGTTATTTCGTTGTCATATGCAGACACAAATGAAATAAAGAAACAAATATATGTGATAAATAATTAAATTTTATGTTAAATTTAATTGAATATCTCTTTATTTCTGTTATTTATATTGTTTACGCGTTATTTACATGATAAAAGAGTTCCAAACGAAATATCAACATCACGTACTCACGTAAAGTCATCGCAGTCGCACAAGCGAGATACAAAGCGCTACCATCGTCAGTCCGCGATAAAACAATCGTTCGATATTAATTAATTAATTAATTTTCAAGCGCATCGATTGCGCCGCATTGCACTCGTTATCAACTCATCGATTAATTAAACTATCGGCTGGTTTACGTTACTTTCATTACCGCGTATAGCCAGTCCCAGAATAACGACACAGTCGCTGGACAGAAAATTACTGATGAATCCAAATGAAGCGGATCGCTCACCGGTTTTGTGCAACAAATACGCGTTGGATGATTTGGAAGATGAAACGTCGAGATGGCGGCAATCGACTCAAAATAAGCGTAAGCGATCAATACGATACTGTTATTAGTTTCGGAATAAGTATTCGCGCTATCGAAGACGATCAAAGAGATCGCCTCTTTGAAGCGCGCTTGAAAAAAAATTAAACAAAACCGACGCTGGATTACAGTTGAGAATTCGGAGAAACTGCAAAGCAACGGAACGGCCGAAGAGTTAGATAGCGTTGAAAAGCGAGCTTCCTTTAATCCCAGATCTTTGCCGAGGAGATGTCTTTCCGTAGAAGGAGCCACGACGAATGTTCACAGAACAAATTCGTCGGCGGGGCTTCGACCAGCTTCGATCTATTTGGAAATGGAATATATGAAAAGATCGCAGTCCACCAAAAGTAGACGTACCAGGAGCAATTATTCTGTCGGTAAAGTCGAAGCGAATGGATAATGAATAGTGAAATATAAGTGAGATTGTTTTCTGATCGATCGAAAATTCCTAAAAATTATTATTTTTTGCTGGCGATCCTTTGAGAAAGTACCGAATTACGCTCTTATATCAACGATAAATCTAGATTAAGATTTCTTATGTGAAATGAGAATCGAGTTTCGCAAAGTGAAAAAATGATGGTATCGAAGAAACCAATACTATATACCTAAATACGTTTCTAACTTGCGTTGTATTGCATTTAAGTAAGTAAATTGTTCTTTAAGCGTATATATATATATATATATATATATATATATATTATTTATCGAAAGTATTCAAATCAAGTTTAAAGCTCTTCTATAAATTACATTAATTGAATAGCAAGTCGATAGATAACGCGCGTCCCTTCTGATCCTAGTTAAATACTTTTTCTTTTTCTAGCGCGTTCCTACAAACGGGGACCGCCGCCGCCATCGCCGAGAATTATGTCACCGATGGGATTTGCCGTGCATCGACAGGTTTACGCTGACGATATTGATTTTGACTATGATTACTATACCGTTGCGGATGATCAGGAAAGACGACCGACCAAGCCTGTACCTATCTGGCTGTGCGTCTTTCTGGTCGTCAGTTACATACTCGGCGGCGCTTTTCTCTTCAGCGAGTGGGAGAATTGGCCATTCCTCGATTCGGCTTACTTCTGCTTCATCACGTTGACCACCATCGGTTCGTATCCCAATTTGTCATTCTTTCTTTACAGTCTACTGTATTGTACTTTACTACTACTAAAAGGCACGATGTTACGTTTCACGATGCTTATTTCGATCGAGACTAGCTACATATTGACGTTACGAGTCGGTTTCCTTCAAGGACAGCTTCTTTCATCCTGCTTTCATTTTTCAATTTCTTGCTCAGCTCTAGAAACTAGAGAAAAGCCCTAGAGCTTGGTAATTTTATTATAATAATACTCACGCGTAATTGCCTCACGGTATATAATATATAATATTTACGTAATATCTTTTAATCTATTCTTAAAGACCTTATTTTCACTCACCGATTATCCCTTTATTTATAGATAGATTTATAGATGAATTTCCCGTTTATTTTAAACGCGATCTAAGACTCGCCCAATACATCCACAAATGTCTTCTATTTTAAGGCTTTGGCGATTTTGTACCGGAGTACAAGTTGGATGCGCAAAAGGGCATCGCTCTTTGTTCTCTCTATCTGCTATTTGGAATTGCCTTGCTGGCAATGAGCTTTAATCTGGTGCAAGAGGAGGTCATCAACAACGTGAAGAGCGTCGCGAAGAGACTGGGTATCATCAAAGAAGCCGACGACGAGGAGGAAGAGGAAGAGGCCGAGGACTACGACGAATACAACGCCGAGTACGAAGATGAGGTCTACGAAAACGAGCCCAAGCTCTGATCTCCCGGTTTTCAGCTTACCATTCGACGAGAGTTATCCGTCTTCGTGTACATGGCACAAGATCCAGGGGATTTCTCGATTCACATTTCATATGCCGACTCACAGTCGGCATATGAGTCAGTTTCGCAACGAATCTACATGTCGCATCGTGAATCGAATTCTCGATCGATTAATTTGACTCTTTTCGCGCGAGTCTTGTCTTGAGAATAAATCGATGTACAAACGTATCAAGTTGGATTAATTTAGAAACTATAACTATAATTTATTCCAATTATCTCTTCTTCAATTCACCTTAATTTCTTTTTTCAATTGAGAATGTTATTAAAATTTTAATTTCTTTTAACAGCTTTAATAGCAAAGACCTTTGAACTTGAAGCAAGTTTTTCATATTTTGTTATTACACATTTCAATATCTGACACAATGCTGAGAAGTACACTATTACTAAGAGAATTATTATTATCAATTGTTGAAATAATGGTGATGAGAGAAACTATGGTTCGCGAACGACGCGAGGAAAATGTTGTACAATATTGCCATGTACGTATATATACAAATCTGAGAATTAGTTTCTATAAAATGAATAGGAGAACAATTGCGGAATGCAATTAAATTTGCATACACTTTGCATATTGGTAGTCTTAATATTTAGTCGACATTTGCATTTTGAATATTTTCTCTTTACATTTCACCCAATAGTCAGTTCGCAATGAGTTTTACGTTATTAGAAATATTTTAGATAATTATTATATGAATGTTCATTATACATAATAACTAATATAAAATTATATTATGTAATATGAAAAAAGAATGTTCTAGATGTACTATTTTTACCAAAATGTTTGATAAAAACTGTAACTCGTATAGTCTTCGTTTTCTTATCTGATCAATATTTATTATTTTTCCCTCTTCTTTTGATTCGAAATTTTTTAAAAATTATTAACAGATTTATTTATTTAATGTAAAATTATTTTTTATGGCAATTTAAATTTATTTTTACATGTACTTTCTTTAACTGAAAGTGCAACATAGTGCAAACATAAAACGACGTTTATTCGTTGTAACTTTTATTCGTTGTTCGAGGAGCCATGGAATCACTAAAAATTTGAAACTTTAACGTTTTCAAGAAATAGTCTTGCTTTCCAGCAGAGTATTTTAAATTTTCTTCGAACGTACGCGACACGAGAATACGATTATCTTTCAGCGAGCACGATATTTTCTCACGGCTTACTACTTTCCGCGTGCAGAAGATTGTTCTTACAATATTTTCCCGGACGCACTTGCCGCATGCAAAATTCACGCTTGCTATGCAAATCCCTTTCATCCCCTTTGCGACCCATACACATACGTTCTCATACATTCTCGCTACTACCCTCGCAGTCGCATTTCGTCGTTTAAATCGCAAGGACGTTAATCGTCTCGACGACGACAACGGCGGCGGCAGCGGTGGATAGTGGCGACGGCGACGACGACGACGACGACGTCGGCGGTGGTAACGGTAGGTAGGTGGTAGTCGGTACGTACGTCGTTCGTAACGACTACGACGTAATACGCGTCGAGTAAACACCAGAAGAAATAAATAAGTACGCTAAGAACTTAGTTCGTCGTCCGTTACCGGTTACCGTAAACTAACTTACCCGGACCGGCAACGTAGGTAAGTACTAGCATTCTATAAATTTAAAAGTTACGTAGTACGTAGGACACGACTCTCTCTCTCTCTCTCTCTCTCTCTCTCTCTCTCTCTCTCAACGTCACAAAATTATTCTTTAATTAATATTTAATATTTTTGTACGATTACACATCGGTGAATGATGGATCAAAAAACCATCGGATAACCCTCTTCTACTTAACTCGCGTATATCGATCATTTAAATTAAAAAATAGTACCACTCTCAATATTGATGAGAGCAGAGATTATACTCTGTATGAATGTATTTCTGTTTACTAATCGCTCTGAATTTTAATATTTCAACATTTTATTCGGCGCTAAATGGAGCGCCGGGACAAGCTTGTCTACCGGGTGTCCGACAAATCCGGTTATTCGACCGGCTGCACGACTAGACTCAAGCGACTTGAACCCGGTTATTTTCAGCGATGCGCTATTTCGGGATAGTGCATATCGTGACGCGGGGTGTCTCAAAGAAATCAGTTTACAGGGAAACTTGGTCGAGATGGGTTGTTCTTCGCGCGTTTTCATACCGGCAATTAAAAGTCAAATTCTATGTCGGTCATCATCGAACTTGGATCTTTTCATAAAAGTGTAGTGCAATGCGCAATGTCGATCGAACGTCGTTATTCGTTTAGAAATTAATCGCTCATTACAATTTGTACATACGTAACGATCATGTAACGAGAGTGTTGCAATCAAGTCTGAACAATCAACAATCGTGCAAAATTTTCGAGAAGAGCTACGAATACTTTTAGTAATTTCAATAGGATCATAAAAACAATGATCTACAAGAAGAAACGAAAAGTTTAAAACTCAATAAACTATGATAATGCGTCTTTGCGGCACGTGGCAGTTTTTTGTAATCATCTGTCTAGTCGCACGTACTAGTCGCATAGATATGTATGTCTAAATATAATTTTCACAAAACGAGCATAAACGAGCAGAAATCCCGTCTCAATGAAGGTCTAAGGATCATAACGCGCGACAAATACGAGCTAAATAGAGATTTCGGATTTCGGAATAGATTCTATTCTTATATGAACTTACTTATTGATCTTACCGTCGATCACCGCGTCATCGTCGTCACTTACGTCGAATGATGAAATTGCCAATCTCCATCGGTTCCTCGATCGATACCTACATCTACACCTCGGGTATCGAGTTCAATTTCTATTGTGTGATGTAATCTCTCGATTAAATGTACAAGTCTTTTACGCATGGAAGATAAAAATTCATCAAAAATTTCGTCGCTCTACTATTAATACGATCGATAATTAAAATCTGAGAGAGAAATAGATTCCAATAGATTACATATTAATTTCAAAACAAATAACGTTATAACGTTAAGTGTTTTATCGTTATATTATCTCCTATAATGAGCTATTTGTGTAATTTGGCGTAGAGATAATTCTCTTTGAGCAAAATATATTTTGTTCAAATAAAGCGTTACTAAAGCATTACTGAGTTTGTAAAATCGCAAAAGAATCGATATTTTATTTGAGTTGAATAACAATTAAAACAGAGAGATACTTAAATAAAGAACACGTAAATCCCGTTGCGTTGATTTATTCCCAGTCTGCGAAAAGTCTGGGAAAAAGGGAGGAATTTAATTAAGGTCGGAATACATTCTACATCGACTACTTCGGGGAAATCGTCGATCATTTTTCGCGGGATCGTAAACAGTTTCACAATAGATTTTGTTAAGCGGCCAAGTGGCTCATCCCTCCCGCGGTGACGACGGCGACGTCACGTTTTCGATTCCCCGCGGATCACGACCAAGTCGATACCAGACTCCGAGAATCAACTGTCGTGGAGGCAGAAGAGACTCGGAGAAATACGATGTTTTACATTAAATTTGTCCGGTGCAATTCTCTATTAGCCTTGGTCAGTGCTCGGACGTAAGAGCGATCAACGACCTTTTTATAATTCCTTATGCTTCGCTTTCCTATGTCGTTTTACGTTCGAGCCGTTCGTTATCTAATAACACCATTATACAATAAAATCGATTGTAATAATCAAATCTATATGTCATTCTAGATGAAAAAAGAATCTTATTTAAGTAAAGTCAACGCATTAATTGAAAAAGAATATGTATATGTATAATATATATATATATATATATATATATATATATATACTCATATATATT